CTCGCCAACTCGTGCGCGTACCAGCTCACGTGCCAGCAAACGTCCGTCCATTGTTGCGCTGTGCTTGGATCTTTGCGAAATATGCTAAGTGCTAAAAATGTGTACCACACGGAAACTGCGTAGTAAACACACTAATAAGTTGGATACATGCACTTAATGTGGTTAACATATCTCTAAATTTAGGCAGTGCTCGTACGCTATCGCGTTATGTATTGGCGATAATGGTGACGACGACGACGTGGCAATGTAATTTAAAATAAATTACCAATGAACATATGGTTTTGTGGTCGCTTTAGGTCATAAGGTTGCGCTATTTTCTGTCGTCTTGTCGTATTGTGGTTGCGGTAACGCCTCTCGTCAACTGGGTGAGGTCAGTGAAGGGTTGTTATCAGAGGAAAACAACCGCCAATCATTTTTATTTGAGAATCTTTGTGTAGTACACTACAAAGATTTGACAATAGATGTGCTGGAAACGTACATGAATCAATAATTTTATGATGGTGTGGTTCTCTGTTTAATGAGCATACCAATTAGTGATATGTACTGTGGTTACAGTAATTTGCCAGTCTTTAATTTTTTTTCAGGACATGTACCCATGCCGACGGCTATTTCTCGGACAATAGGTCCTAGATTTTCCAAGTAGAAATCGCAGTAAGCCAGATTTAGTATAGGATTCAGTATAGAACAAGAAAGTCGTCGCTTTTCATTTGTTCGTAGGACACTTGTCCCCATCGCAACCGTAGTCAAGCTGAACAGTCACATAAGAGAAGCCTCACCACCATGGCGGAAGTCGACTTTGACGCGTTCGAGAAGCAAGTTTCAGAGATACAGCGGGACATGGTGAGCGCACGGTCTCGCGCGGTGTACGAGAATTCATACGGACGCTTTATTGCATGGGTGGTTTGCTTTAAACCCCACCTTATTCCACTTACCTGTTCGGAGAACTCGGCGACGTATCGAGCCTCACTGTAAAGCAACTTCTCAAGCGACTGAAGGCCGTGCTCGACCGTAACCCAGAGAACACCTCACTTCTATTTGATGATGTACAGACCTGTGTGTTTGGTGCTTGGCTGCTCAGGCTGGAGAAGCCAGACGGAGGCAGGATCAGCTATGCAGCATTAAACGAACACAGAGCTGGGCTTTTCAGTCTATATCAGGAGTTTGGGCGGGAGATTCCACCAACAAAGTAAAAAGGTATTTTAAGGAGTTAAAGCGGCAGATGGCTACAGCAGCTGCGCATGGGGAGAATTGAGCAATGACTTGCAATGATCCCTTATCATTTGAGCTGTATAGTTTCTTGTGTGAGAAGCTTCTCGTGAATCCATCAAAGGACATGACTTTTGCGCGAACTTATATGATCATTGCTTGGAAGTTGATGTGCCGGTCGGCGAATGCTTTCGGTGTTTGCCATGGGCACATGAGGTGGAGCGAAGATGCATTGTGCATCAATTTCGCGCATCAGAAAAATGACCAAGAAGGCAACAGATTACGAGATCCCAGGCACGGCTACGCTAACCCGTTAACGCATTTTACCTGTCCAATGCTGGCGCTAGCAATCTTTTGGACTACATCATCCGTTGTTGACACTGATCGAATTTTTTTCGGGAAATAACCATTACGAGCGTTTTAGAAAATGTTTGCATCGGCTTTTTTGAAACTAAAGATGTAACACAAGAACTACGACGTGGTGAAATTGGTAAAGACGAGGCAGGTACGCATTCGATGCGCAAAGGCGCCACTACCTACTGTGCATCAGGATCCACGGCTTGCCCATCGTCAACAGCAGTTCATCTTCGAGCAGGATGGTCACTAGGCGGAGTCCAAAACACTTACCTCCTGTATGAAGCTGCCAGAGACATGCATATTGGTAGAACTGTCTCTGATTTACCACCTGGTAGTCATGAATTTGCTGGTTTGGCACCTCATTTTGGTGAACTGGTGGAAAGCGCGATCTCGTGTATATTTCCTGGACTACCTGATCACATCAAGGTTGTTGGTGAGTTTTGCCTTGCACCACTAGTGTACCACTAACATTACGAACCTTCAAAAGCGACTCAGTGA